TTAGTCTGTCACGAGAAAGCTTGGGAGGGGTCGGGGAGAAGTGTGCCTGCAGGGGCTGAAGGCCGGGAGGGCCTCTCTGGCCCCCCTCGGAGATGCTGGGAGGTGACTGTTCTGAAGCTCAGGAACAAGTCAGGGCTGGGAAGGCAGCCCCGGGGATCCTCGTGTGCATTTGGAATTGGAAACAGGCCCAGATCAGGTCACCTGGGAGCTTGTAGGACTGGATTCCCAACTAAGCGGGGAGCAGGCCTGGGGCCCGGGCACGGGGACCATTGCTATCCTTTTCCGAAGACGGAATTAAATGGCATTCAGAAACGGTTGCAGGGCGAGGAAGGCTCTGTGGAAATCTGGGCAGTGGCAGCAGCTGGGGGGCAGGCCGGCCAGAGCTGAGCCAGGACGCGGCAGGGCCAGACGCGGGGGAGAAAGGGCTGTTTTCAGTCGTCCTGCACGAACTTGGCAGCTTCTGTCCTAACGGCCCAGGGGCTGGGGGCGACCGGAGCCGGCGACCACAGCCAGGGCTCCTCAGCCCGGTGCCCTCAGAGCAAGACAGTTTTTTTACATGAATGAGTTGGAAGGACTTAGGTGTGTGGCACACTGTCAAGTTTAATGATAATTATTGTATTTGTTCATTCTGTGTTAGACTTTGGATTCAAAGCACCAGGAGTCCCTGAGCGGAGCCGGTGGGACTAAAGAGGATGCAGAGGAGGGATGAAGGGAGAGATACCAGGAGGGGGAACAGGTGGGGGCTAGTGGGACCCCACTGGTAGGGGTGGGGGTGTCACAGAGTGGGTTTCTGGGTGGATGAGTCATCTGGACTGTCAGGAGGGGGCGTGGGAAGGGCGCAGGTTTGCCCTGGTGGCCACACTGCTGTGGGGAGAATGCGTGATTTGAGGCCAGCACACTCCCCTGCCTGATGTTACAGCTGGACAGGAAGACATGCCAAATCTGAAGAGCCATGGGCGGAAAGACAGATGCCTCTCAGAATTCAAAACCATGGTAGTACTGGAGGCAGTCAAAGAAGAGGATCGGAGAGAGAGAGCTGAGACCTGGGATTTTAACTGAAAGATGTAATTACACAGCTCAGAAGAAAACAGGCCATCTTAAGTCAGAGAAGGCTTTTGGTTACACGGAGGTTCAAACACCTCCATGGAATCTCCCATAGGAAGTTCAAAAAAAAAAAATGAGAGCCAAGATTCTTTGAGGTTAAGGCATTACATTTTTAAAAAGAGTCATGCCTTTCACATAAAGACTGATAAGGACAGTCTTTCCGATGTGGGCAGGAGTGGCTTTCGGGTTCTGCTCTTCTGGCTTTCCTATCACCTGGCTACACGTGGCATCCCTTTTTAAAAGGGTGTAGAGAAGTCAGTCTTCCGAGTAGTACTTTCAATATTACTGTAGTAATGGGAAGTACAAATTCATTTTAATACAGAGTAAAATTTGAAGAAAAAGGTCATATTTAAGTAAGATCAGTAGTTTAGAGAATTATCCCAGTGGTTTGTTTCAGTTACCAAGGTGAAGGGTGAAATTTTATGATCTCCTGTTCATTGACCAGAAAAAAAAAAATTGTAGTCAGCAACCATGTGGTTTGGGGTATGTAAACAGACTAATGGTTAGAATAAGAAAATGAAGTTAAAAGCAATCTCAATTGTATGCCAACTGTCGAAGCTTTACTTAAACTAAAATTAGAGTATGAAATCTACTTAACAATAGATGAGCACAAACCCCCCAAAAATTAAAAAAAGAAAAGGATAAAGGCTCTTAACAATGCAAAAACTTACATCTGTTAGATACACACACAGTACTTGCTTAAATGCAACATGTATTTTTTATTGAACTCTGCAGTCAATTTTAATCAAAGGTTGCACAAATATTTTAACGTGATTGGTTTCAACCGTTTAAATTAAAACCAGTTTTTCTGTGAAACTGAAAAGCCTGTAAACTGACAGACAAGCACATGTAGAATGACTCCCAGTAGACTTAATTTTATTGTAAAAATTCTTAGATCACTGCTGATGACCAGGTCTGAAATGAAGAATGAGGTAATTTTATTTTTCCATTGCAGGATCCTGTACCATGTTCTACAGCCCAGATCAAATATAGAACGTTGGCCCAGGAAGGAGCCTGAGTAAGGGTGGCCCAAGCCTCTCTCTCATTGGACAGGTGGCCACCGCGAGGCCAGAGAGGTGTGAGTGATGTGGAAGGTATGCTAGGAGCCCATGGCCTCCAGCATGGAAGCATTCCTTAAACGAATGAGTGTCGGCTTGAGCAGACTTCCACGTGTGGCTCTGTCAAGATTTCTGAAGCTCTACAACTAGCTCCTTGGTCATTCCAGCTATAGATCGTAGATACAAGGAGCTGTGTATTTGCGCCACAGGCCTTGTGGGTGTGGCCTGGAGTAAGGCCTGCTTCGTGGTGACTGGTCCATGCTGTGGGTGCTGAGTGAGTGGCGTGCATGTGTACCCTGTACCTCCTTTGTTAGACCGTGGTGGTTTGAACTTCACCTTCAGTAGCAGGTTCATCCATATTGTGGGTCCCCCCCGTTCACAGCCCCACACTTCAGGTACCAGAATCCTCCTGGTTGTAACGTTTCCCAACTCCAAAGGCACCATTCTTGTCCCTGGTTCAGGGCTGGGAGCCATCTACGTCTAAATCTCAGAGTAATGACCAATTTCGGCATGCCACTGAATTTCCACGAAGCCAGACAGTGAACAGCACAACTGTTTTTGGCTGGTCTGCCTGTACCTCCCTCCTTCTTTAACCTGAAACCAGGTATAGTTCTGGAGAGAAAACAGGCTCCTAGCTCTTGTGCGCTTTTGTTTTACACGGGCTGTGGAAGCCAATGTCGAGTTTTGTTAGCAAAGTGCACTTTAGGTTCCCTAACTTAAAAAGAGGTACCCTGTAAGAAACGTGCTGAATCTATGTGGGGCTGACTGCTGTCTATAAAAGTGCGTATGTCTTATGCAATCTTTTGAGACCTGGGTTGATTGATTACATATGAAGCAGAGAAAAGATTCTTTTGGAACCATTTGGACTTGGCAAACGTAATTAAAAAGACTTAGAAGGCCCACGTTTGGTGCCCTTCTTAGCGGATTGACCACAATGGCTAATAGTTTTAACCTTCCTGCTGCAGAGGCAAACGAAGTCAACTTAAAACTACATCTCACCATTCCTCTGCAATAATTTTCCCTGTTGAGATTGGACAGCAAATTGCATGTCTTTCCTTTTCTGACTTTGAAGTGGGATTATTTTGATTCCATAATACAACTCTCATTTGGAACACCACGCCATTGATTTCAGACGGCCAGCCTCTGCGAGGGCAGGCAGCAGGGCTTTGGTGCACCTGTCCTCACAGTTGCTCTACATCCTGTTTTCTGTGTGGTCAGGTTAGCTGATGAATCTTGTGCTGTTTTGCTGCAGCAAATGACAGAAATAGGGACTCAACCACACAGAAACATCATGCGTGTTTACCAAACATGTTGCTTCAACGCTTTTCTATGGTTCATTCTTCTTGTGAAGACTGCGCTTTGTGAGGGTGCCGACTACAGAAGGCGGCCAGCGGGAGCGGCTGGTTTTGGGAAATCGGCTGCACGTGCAAAGCAGGCGTCTCAATACTTACAAATCCCTGTGTCTTGGAAAGCCATGCCCATTGCAATTTACATTACAAAAAAAAATGGGCAGGATGTGGATCACAGAAGACCCCTTTTCCTGGACTGTGCATTACTTTGGAGCCTTCATCCTAAGTTTAGAGGTCAGCTCACTTGCAGTGAGAGGCCAGAAACCAGGCCAGTTAGGCACCCTGGCGTGTGCAGTCCTGGGCACTGGTCTACTAGGAGGGTTACTGGAGTAGAAAGGTTTATAAATACAAGAAAATATTTCTCAAGGGCATGTAATTTAATTATCACAGGATACATACTTCCTATTTGTCACACAGGTTCTCATTCTCACACTTCAGCTTGGAGTAAAAACAATAAAAAAAAATCCAATCAGAACTACTGAATCTTTAAATCATTGTTTCTAGAAACTAAGGGTACATAAAAAGTTATACCCCCCCCCCCTTCCTTGCCATAGAAAAGACCCCAATGCAGAACAATTAGAAGGAGCTTTTCACTTTTTTCACTTCTTACTCTAAGACACCTTGAATAACTTTTCTGAGATTTGGGGACGGAATGACTCCCAGCTCCGAGAGAGATCCAGAAAAGGCTGCTCGGGAGGATCACAGAGCTGGCTCTGGCTGGGAGGCACCCAGGGGGGCAGAGAACATTCAGCCGGGGCAGCTAGACTAGGGTGGAGGGTGAGCCCCTCTCACCGCAGGCCTCCGGCCCCCGCCCCTCTCACGTCTGTTTGTTGGGAGACTCAAGTAGTGAAAAAAGTGTCTTTAAGAGAGCGAAACTTGACTTAGCCCTATCCAATATATCCTAACCCACCTCTAAAAGATTCTGATTCTGAAGGTATCGGTCACCCTTGGACGTTTCCAAAGCCAAACCACCTGCTGGTGCTGAAACAACACAAAATGCACCAAACAGGAGGGGAGGACCTTTGGGACTAGGTGAGCCCAACGCAGGCAGTGGGGGGGTGCACCTGGCTTTTGCGTGATGATGTAAACCATGGCTTTCTGTGCTCAAATTAAAGAATTGCGAACAGGTGAGGGGGTTCCCACCAACGCTCAAACCCCTTGACGTGCCCTGAGTCACACATCCTGCAGGCCCCGCCTTAGGAGGGCTTTTCCTGGAAAGAACCAGCCTCGCCGGGTTCTTTCTGCTCTGTTCTCGGGCGTCTCACTGATGTCCAGGGCCACCGAGGTCCTGCTAACTGGGGGCAGCGCACACACAGCTATGTGTTTAGAATAACCCTGCACATGCCCCTCAGAGGAGCAGGGAGGCCCCAGCAGGAGCTGCTCTGACCTGGGCTTGTGCAGAGGAAACCCTCCCTCCAGAGAGACAGCTTCGAACTGCCCAGACTCACTTCTCAGCATTCACATTAAAACTGCTTCAGATTCTGTTTGACTCAAGCAATCACTGTACATTGAGAAAGTCACACCTGGCTTTTTCATGGCCCCTGGCATGACAGCCTCATGGGTATCATGCCTTTCTAAGGTATCTATCATTAGAGCAATGTGCAATTAAAAAAAACCTGTTGGGCGAACGTTTCTTTGGTCAGCAAAGTCAAAAGTGTGCCCCTCACTCCGAAAAGTCGGAAGACGTGCCTGCACTTCTCTGGTTTGACTGCCTTCACCGTGCGTGGTGGTCAGAACAGATGCCGGAGAACCTGCCCGGAATGGGTTTTGCTTTAGGAGTTAAGTATGTGTTTGATAGGCTGGGACTTCAGCAGCCCAAGTGAAGGAACTGTGGGAGGTCATGTGCTTCAAGGCCAAAGGGCTTGGACCCATCCTTCAGTCACAGCTCCATCGCCATGGGCTGGGGGTTGCTTCCTGTGTCTCCAAAATTCTACTAAAATATCCTACTCTGTGAATCTGTCGCTGAAGGGGCGTCTGAAGTTATGATATGTACTAGTTGCCAAAGGAGTCTCTAGCTGATCTGCCCGATTTAGAGGGAATTAGTTTATTCAATGTTGTCTTTAAACTCTAACCCCACTGATAAAATAATCAACCATGTTAAAAAATACTGTTTAATTCTCTAGCCATGTACTTAAAAAAAAAGCTGATAAAATTAGATCTATTTCCTACCTTCTCAGGTCTTCCCTGAAACCACCCTGAAGCTATGCGTCCTAATTTTCAGCGCTCCTGTCTACAGGGGGTTTGTCTTTGCGGTGGGCACCCCAAGGGCCACTGGGTGTCCGGAAGTCTGAATTCAACCCTGTGATGTTCATGGCTGGCTTTATGCTCTTACATTCTTTTTTCCTTGAGAAACAACAGGATCACACAGCACTGAAAACAATAAATACAAAAAGCCTTGTCTTTTCCTTTAGTCTTTTTTGCTCTTCCAGCATCTACTTCCATCCTCACCAGTGTCTATACTGGCTGACCCATTTACACCCGTTACCCATGATGAAAAATAGATCTCTTGTTATTTACTGATCCCTATATTTATGTACAAATGACAGGCTTTGTAAAACTGCTACAAATAAGAGACAATGTTCATAGATACAATACGTTTCAACTGCACGTATGTTGACACACAAGCAATCACCGTATTGTATTAGAGACATTTTATTGAAAATGAGAAAATAGGAAATGTATTATAGCCTAAAATAAATTACATAACATATACAGTATATATTTATATCTTTAAAATATTTTTTGTGTCTAGGTTCTTTCAGTCTAGGAATTTTGACGAAATCAAATTTACTGAACTGTGTCAGTATTTTTTTTTTTTAAAGAAAAAACCCGCTTTCCAAAACTTAGAAAAATATACTGCACTAAATGGATTTCAAATGTGTCATCTCAGGGAATATCACATAGTGACTTTGATATTGTTTATAAAATGTCTTGCTTTATCCTGTGGCGGGAGAGGGGTATACACGTGGAATTACCTGTACTGCACGGTTTGACTAAGAATGGCTGAACCAGGTATTACATCTACTTCAAAAGTTACAATACGGCAACCTGGCATTAGAATGAGATTATGACTTAAAGCTTCAGTTCACTGTAAAAACTAAAACGCAGAGTTAGAATGCTCCATTTCCCTTGCTCTAGTGCCATCTTCAGGAAGGTGAGTGAAGAACAAGCCTTCAGGGGAAGCCATGCGGAAGGAAGCTGAAATCTGGAGATGCGCTTTGTGACGGCGGCGGCGTTCAAGTTAGCAGTTAGCGGGGTATGTACAAGGCGAGGCACGACGTGGGAGCTCACTCGCATCCAGGGGAGGGCCAGGTGAAATGCGAGCATTGGATGCTGTCAGCTGGCTGCTCCTGTGGCAGCTCACACTTTCCCACAGGCGGTTATTCCCATCCAGCTGCCCAGCGTGTTCACACACCCCTTCTTCAGTGTGAAGGGCCCCTCCGGGCCAACCCTCTGCACCTGTGCAGTGGACAGTTGATGACTCCATAGTGGAAGGCCACCTGGGTTACCTCTCTCTGCACAGCCATGTGACTGCGAGGCCAATCACAGAAAACCAAGTTGTAACCTGCTGATTCTTAAGAGAGATGCAAAGGGACAGGGTGCTATGTGGGGCCTGCTGGGCAGCGGTGGCCACGGGGCGTTGGATGGCAGAGCCGCAGTCCTTTGGTTCCGAGTGGAGACTGTCCGAGGGGGAGGGGAGGCAACTCGGACTAGAGGCAGCTACATCTTTTGGGTTTTCATGAAGCGGGGGCGTGAAGTCAACTGTTTTGTTGGTTTTTACACAGCAACAGCGAAGACCATTCCCCAGGTCCCTGCCTGTGTGTGAGCATACCCAGTATGCCAGGGAGTTTATAGGAAACCTTAATCAAGGCCTCTTTCATTACCAAAACCAAAAGGGAACAAAACTCGGTGGGAGAGGAGATGAGGCGGAAAAGTGTCATCTCGACCATCCCCGCAGCACCGTGTCCCAGGCCTTATTCATTCTCCTCTCTCATTTCCACAACGTCTGTCCCCTCCTCTGCTGGAGGTATGTCCGTCATGGCCGAGTCCTCCCCGTCCACGGCTGACTCGTTCTCTGTCTTCTTTTTCTAGACCAAAGAAGGCACGTAAGCGTGGGCAGTGACAGGGACACATCGCAGCAGAGCCGAGAGTCGGGGGAGGAGGGGGCGGGGAGGCCACCAGGTCTCAGACTCAGATCTTATTAATGGGTTAATGGCTGGGGTGACCTCACGGAGGCCGCATCTTTGTTCCGCTCCCGCCTTTCAGTTTGGTGACTTGGGCGCTGGCTGGGTGCCTGGCACTGTGCTGGGCACTTTGGGGGACCCCGTCCCAGAGACTCTCCCCAGCGCCCTCTAGAACGCCCGTCAGCTGGCAGAGACCTGCCTCTACCCGAGGACATCCTGCCGCCCTCTCCAGTAGGGGCTGCGCTCCCCCACCCTCCCCTCCCGGAGGTGCAGACCCTTTTTCCTTGGGACGAGCGTGGGGCCTGATGTTACCGACCTCCCTCCGGCCAGCCCTGGGTTTGCTGTGGTTCTCCCCCACCCTGCTTGTGGCCTGTCCTAATGCCAGGTGGCTGCACGGCCTTGGTGCCCGCCTGGCAGTAACCGGCCTTGACCTTCCTCTTGGGGGGTCAGGTTCCCCAGCGCCACCTCCGCAGCGCACCAGCTCACTGCAGAGCCTGCCGCTACCAACACCTTCAGCGCCACCCACAGGCCAACTCCAGGGACACCAGTGTCCACCTGCCACCACTGTCTGGCCCCGCCCTCCAGGGCCCTGCCCCCACGACCCCCAGACCTTCTTGTCCCCTCTCCCCTCTTCCAGCAGCTTAAATGAAATGCTCAATAATTGTAACCACTTCCTTGCCCCTCTTGTCTTTAATCATATTTGCCAGGCAAAACACCAACCTTGGTTAGGTCCAAATCTCCGCCAATTTCAGCTGTCACCACCTGGCTGCCATTGCTGGGGGGGCCCACAGTGGTATCCCCCAGAGGTATACCCCTGGACCCCTTCTCTTCTCCACCTCCATTCACTCCCTGGTTAATCTCGTCCCTTCTCTGTTGAATGAATAATGTAAGATGGGGTGCCTGCTCCCTGATTATTCATAATCTTAGAAAGGAAAGACATATACTCCCAAATAATTAGATACCCCTACAGGGTAAACTAATTACGTGCTAACGTAAATGTGTGTGCGTGTGTGCGTGCGTGCATTGGGGTTTGGGAGGGACTCCCTGTGGCGGGGTGGGAGCTGGGCTTGAAGAGGACAGGCTGTGTAGGGGCAGAGTGGGCGAAGGCATCCCGGGCACCCGGCTTTTCCTCGGTTGGTCATCCCTTCGTGGTCAAGTCCGAGTTTATAGCGACTTATAAACTCAGGGGACTTGGTTGCCAGGGAATCACCTTTTCAGGGTTTTCTTCCGTGGCCAAAACCATCATTTCCCTTCTACATTTATTAATTCTCTAGAGGTGACAGCAGAATGCAGGACCTATATTTTTTAGTTGTCCCTCCTGCGAAGTACGACTGCCTTCTGAAGCAAGGCCAGTGTGAGGAGCGCCCCACATAATCATGTGCGAAGGCACCCCGGTTATCAAACCCGACTGAGGGCTGAGCCACGTTGCTGTGAGGGCTGCTCACGTGCAGAGGCCCCGAAGTCATGGAGGGCAGTGTGGGCCCAGCTGAGGTACAGGATGAATGTGAGGTGTCACCACCACCGTGGGCCCTCAGGGAGCCACCCGAGTCTTCCTGCACCTGGGAGGAGGCTTCCCAGTCACGCAGGTGCGTGTCAGTCACCATGTCTCACCTGTTTCCGATAGACGTACAACGCGGCTATGGCGACCATGGTGGATTCTCCCACAAACCCCGCGAGGAGGGAGCCCACGCCCAGGGTGGCTCCGTGTACCCTGGGGATGAGAATGCGCAGGCCATTAGTTTGTTAAACCTGTGCTGAGGTACGTAGAGAGTGGAAATCCAGCGGAAATCCAGGAAAGGTGCGTCTGCGTGGGGAGGGGTCCTGGAGCGCCGGGCAGAGTCGTCTCCCACGGCCCAGCAGGCCTCGGCCCAGCCTCCGTTGGTACCTGGGCTGCATCCCCATCACTGGTGAGCCAGCAGCTCCTCCCGCCCCTCCTCTCTGCACAGTGCGGTGTCCGAGCTGGAGGGACTGAGGAACGCCCCTGCTCCAGGGGCGTGGTAGGTGCTCAATGAATACTGTGTACAGGCCCAACCTTGAAAGCACTTTTCTAGAATGGATTTCAACAGCCTCCCATCTAGTGCCCAGGCAGAGAACACAAAGTGACTCTACATTTCTACTTCTAGATACGCTTGGGGACTTCGCCTAAGAAAGTTGACGTAAACCTCTAGGCAGAGTACTTAGGTGGCAGGAGGACCCACGGCTCCAAACCCCTGGAGACTTACCCGAGGTAGGGCAGGACCACGAGGCTGGTGATGAGGACAATGATCCGCAGCACGGAGCTGGGGGCCAGGACGAAGGTCTTCTTCAGTGTCATCAGCCACCCGGTGAAATGGGCCCTCACAGTGACTGCGGAGAGAGCAAAGGACTCGTCAGGGACGACCTGCTCCTCTGGGTCCTGGGCTGTTAGCTTCCAGCCTCCGGGCTGCACATCTGGGACCCTGACCTTGCTGCTACTACGCTGGGTGTCACCACGCCTTCCCGCCAGGCTCCTGATCCCTGCCTCTGAGCGGGAGGCAGCCCCCTCCCTACCTGGGCTCCTGCCTCATCACAGCGCTCAGGCCCAGACAGCTCGCCAAGGGGGCTGCAGGCAGCGCCCTCCCGCCAGGGCGACTGCCATCTTCCAGGGGCGCCATGCCTGCTTCCAGGACAGTCCTGTCCACTCCTGCCACCCCCGAGCCCCATCCCCCCGACCCCCAGTGTCAAGCTCTGATCCTTCCTCTCGAGAAGAGAAAACTTAGAGAAAAGAACTTGGCGGTGATGAGGTTTGATTCTGAGTGAAGAGAAAGGCTGGACCAGCAGCCCGGGCTTCCCCGCTGACGGTGACAGTCAGGGTGGTGTGGAGACAGGCGTCAGGAGGAAAGGGGGCAGCCCTTGTCCACTTCCCTGACTTCCTCCCAGCCGTCCGTGACCACTTGGACCTCAGTCACCTCCCTTCCTCCTTCGCCTGGCAGTTCCCTGCCGTTCTGATGGTCGCTGTTTCACAGAGACCTCACCGGTCTCCCCCTCCAGAGGTGAGCTGTGGGACGGCAGGGCGCCCAGCCTGAGGGCCAGGGAGGGGCCCCAGCGACAGGTGTGGACTGGCTCAATTTGGTTTTGGAGGAAACAGACACTGTTGTCAGCAAGAAGTGCCCCAACTGTTTCCATCTGATCTGGAACTGGAGGGGGTTTAAGGAAGCGTGAGGCCTCAGTCTACGTCCCGTGTGGGGTGGCAAAGACCTTGTGAAGGGGGAAGGAAGTGCTCGTCGCTGGGGTAAAACCCAGTGTCCCCGATATGTGGGGAGAAAGACCTGCTGTGTCCCTGGTCTAACCGTGCGCCAGCCCCAGCGTGGAGGGTTGTATTTAAGAGGCACAGACATACATTTGGCTTAGGCCAAGTGCAAAGGTGAGGGCACACAGGTGGAATGCTAATCCGGTTGGCCTAAACCCAGGAGGTTGCAAAGATGGGTGGAAGCTGATGGCTGTCGGCAAGCCCTGAGGATGACCGGTGAGGAAGTCTAGGCCAGAGGGGATAATGGTGAGTCCCACCTGAGTCTAGCTGGAGTTCGTCAGCACCTCCAGCCCCTCCTTGAGTCAAGACTGCGCTTTAATCACCATTTAGCGCAGCCACCTCTAGGGGGCGTCACCTTCCAAAGCTTGGCTCCCCAGTGTCCTGTCTCCCCTCCGCCCCAACAAATGGCCTCGGTCTTCCATTCCTCCATTTCTGCACAGCCGACAAGGTGACATCCGAGAACCCCAGCCTCCAAGAATGTTTGGCCGCTAAGAGTGGGGGCAGCTTGTGGCCGGGTCGAGAACAGCAAGGGGCTCCCAGATGCCCTGTTGGTTCTGGCCTCAACCAACCCCACAGCCCATTTCTTAACCTTATCGTAGCTCTCTAGATTTTGGCTTCTCAGTTCGATGACTGAGGTGGAATTTTGGGGCAATAAAAATTTTAACAGGTAATAACATACCTTTGGTACTAAAGGGAATAGAATACAAAGCTCTTCCTCCCAGTCCTGACTCCCCGGGGCCCTTGTCCTGCTTCCTATGGGCTCTTTCCCCTCACTTTACTTCTTAAGTTAACATACCTAAAAAATCAACTTTTTAATGTACAGTTTTAAGACTTTAACACAGGCCTAGATCCACGTCAGCACCCCTACAATCAGGACGTGGAACAGTTCTACAGCCCCCGAATTTCTCACAATCTCTCTTCCGGTCTACCTCCTTTTTACTGTGTTTGCAACCGCGTCCTTTAAGAAACAAATTATCCTGGTTTGATTTGTTTCTTGAACTTTCATCTGACTTGATAACGTCTTTACCTCTTTCTAATCCACTGTGAACATTTCCATTTTTGTTTGGGACATGATTGCAAACATTCCAATGAAAGAAGATTGAATCAGGCATGAGGGTAAATAGGAATTTTTCTTTTGTGCTGTTTTCCTTTACCTGGAATCGGGAAGAAGGAGAAGATTCGCAAAGGAATGACACAGAGCTCTGCGAAGGCGAAGTCCACGCCAATGATGTCTATCAAAATTTTCTCGGAAACGTTTGGGGTCCAGAACATCACAAAACAGAGCTGGGGGGAAAGATGATCAGCAAAGTTGTAAGGAAATGGCACAAACGAGTGAGAGGAGAATGCCAGGCGCTCTGCAATCCCGGGACGCTCCGCGTGGGGGCACCCTGCCCAGGCAGGCGGCGGGCGCACCTGTCCTCGTGCTGCCGTCACCCTGCTTGTTCTCACCTGCTGACATGGGCCCCGGCCCACCTGCCACACCTGGGGCAGATGTGGACGCATCTGAGTGGGTGACCAGGCCAGTGAAGGAGACCACCGTGCTCTCACGGAAGGCGGAACTAGACTGCCAAGCAGTGTGCCGTTCAGGGTGAAATGCTTAGTAATGTACTTTTTACAGCTTTTGCTAAATAATAAAAAGTGACCCAAAAGGATCTGGGTGGATGCAGAGCCGCATGGAGTCAGCACAGCTAATGAACAGGAAATAGTGATGCTTAGGTTAATTACAGGCCTGGGAAATTATAGAACTGGGAAAGGTCCAGTTCAGAGAATGAGAGACCACAGACCCGGAGTCAGGAACTCTGGAAAACAGAGGGGAGGTGGGGGCCTGACTGAACTGTCTCGAGAAAAAGGAACCTTCGATGGACAGGAGAAAGTGGAGCTAAAATCATGCCAGTTCCGCCCAACAATTTTCTCCCTTTCTATGATCTGAGTGAGTGATTATCCTCCAAAACGAAAGTGAATGCATTATAAAATGAATTATAGTTGTACAAAAACAGACCACCTTAATTTTATACTATAACACCTTTAGGCTTTGGGTGAATGAAGTTTCATGGAATTAGGCTGGTCCTATTTTCTATGTCATGCTGAAGTACTTTTTTAAAAATACCAAGGAGGCCCTCCCTCCCTCCCTCCCTCCCTCCCTCCCTTCCCTAACTGCTTTTTTCTTGCTGCATTTAAGATTCTCTATTAAAAAATTTTCAGATACATTTGTTTTCATTTATATACATTTCACTTTATAAATGCCATGGAGCTTTTATTCTATCATGTTATCTTCCAGCGTCTGGGAAGAGTATCCCACTGGTTTTCAAAAAAAGACAGACCTGCTCTCATTTAACCCTATTGCCTGCTGCCAGTACTTGCAGCCCATCTTTGACATGAAGGGAAACACTTCCTTAGATGTAGCTGCTCAGAGCTCAGAGGCGTTATTACCTGGTGGCCCGCACAAGCGGCCCTGCCATCTTTTTTCTCACGGCAAAGCTGCCAGGATGAACCAGTGTGGTATCGCTCACACCTACAGCCCATCTATGGTGGTGATTTCATATCACAACTTCAAAATGACACTGAGCGCAGCAGGGGGACACAATTCACCTCCCTGACAAATATTTTCCATAGCAGTGAAGCTGTAAAGGTTAAGATAAGTGAGCCCCGCCCCCCATCTGGACTTGATCTGTGCCTCCGGACCCACAGAGGGCAAGTTGTCCTGCGTTTCCTCAGTGGTTGAAGTGAGACCCCTATGGGCCATGCTCTGATGAAGATGAGAGCTTCCGGACCATCGCTGTCCTGTTGGACGTCCTGCGTAGCCAGTGATCCTCTGAGTGTGAGATAGTGTCTCCTGTTGCAGTCTCTCTGTGCTGTGCAAAATCACTGTCAAGTGGCTTTTAGGTTATGGCAAACCAAGGGGAAAGGAGGGGGTCATTGCCTGTCACAGAGGATGGTGCAGCAGGCGCCCGTGGCAAAGCCAGGCAATGTCCCTCTGGACTTTCTGCATGGATATGTTCACCCAGAGGCTTCTTACAGCCTCAGAGGACACACCGGTAACTTTTGGGGGAGGGAGTCCAATTTGAGGACACAACCGTAGTGAGCACACCCAGATCAATTGAGATGTTTACATAAATATCCAGTAACCTGGGCTGGTGACCACAGTTCTGGCCCCCTGGAAACAAAATGGTAAGGTTTGATGGTTTCGACATTCCATTTCTAAAATTCCGCAGTGTGATATAACCTGGCACTACTATACCACTCTGTTCTCTTTCTGGTACCTGTCTGAGCCAAGCATGCCCTAGATGTCCCTATCAAGGCCACGTACCACTGAGGTGCAATTCAGAGTTTTCAGCCACGCACACCCAGACCTTAGGTAACTTCCGGAACAACATAACTGAAAGCTGTCAGTCTGGTCTGGGGCTTGAGCAATCACAGGCAATTATTTAAAGGGAACAAATGCCACAATGTATGGTATCCAAGGTTCCTTTCTATCTCTTCCTGAGGTCTCTGAATTCACCCTTTGCCTTTGCCATGCTTCCAATATGCAAATGCTCCTTACCTTCCAGCAAGTTCCTAAAAAAGTACTATTTCTTGTATTGCCCAGGAAAAAAGACATGCAACATAGAAATAGGTATGGTACAATACCTACCTGCAGGCCAACTTTCCCTAAGAAAAGGGCTGAGCCCTAGCATAATAATCAGACCAAATGTAACCAGTCTGTTTCAGAAAACAAGCTTTAGAAGTTAACCTAACAAAGGATATTTCAGGAAAGCATCATTCTAATGAGTTCATCTAGCGTAGCATTGACTTTGAACATGCCCTTCCAGTTGACCATGACATGCTGTGTTCCTCAAATATTTGCAGAGCCTAACGATGTTGAGTTTTCCAAACCAGAACACAAACCTAATAAACTACTGACAATGAACATGATTTGTTCCTTAGAGCAGCTGCAGGGGTGGATTTTCTGCTGCAGAGCTTGCTGTCAATACTATCTCACTAGGAAGCAGCCAGCAAAATAGAACCACCCACTCAGTGCCCAGATCTTGGTTTTTCTATTTATTCTGCGATAAAAGGAACCAAGGCTCCTTGGAGACACGGCTCACTCTAGGAGTAGGGCTGGAAATAGACAAGACGATCAGCCTGGAGTAATAGGTCAAAGAACACAGAGCCCAGCAGAAAGTGGTCCCAATGGGCAAAGCTGGAACAGTTTAAGCAACAAAATAAATAATGTAGTATTGAATTATGACCCACAGTATACAGTAAATACCCATGAGCCAACATTGATATAAATAAACAGGGACAGATCTCTTGCACAGAATTTCAACGAATTTATAAAGATTCTCTCCTCACAAGGAGATGAAGCATAGCTATACCTCCCCATCCAGAAGTGTGGGCCGACCACGGTAACCCCCGCGGGGAGAGGACAGGTGGGAAGGGCAAAGAGTGGCTTCACAGTGGAGAGCCCTGGCAAACAGGGTCTCGGCCAGCTGATCAAGGTCGATGCCAGCAGTGACAAGGCCTGCTCACAGTATGTACTCTTGACGAGATGTAAGGTGACTGGCACTCTACCCAGGTGGTTTTCCTCCTGCAAACCCAAAGCCCCATCTAACCTGAGAACAGCCTCAGACAAACCCAGCCTGAGGCACATTCTACACAGCACCTAACCGGCATTCCTTCAAACTGGTAAAGCCTCGAAAACAAGCGAAGTCTGAGAAACTCGCAGACCAGAGGAGGCTGAGGAGACAAGATGGTGACATGGATGGGAACCTAGAACAGGAAAAGCACGTGAGGAAAAAGCTAGTGAAACAAACTGTGAAGTTTAGTTCATAGTCATGTACCCATGCTGGTTCCTTAGCTGTGACAGGGGAGCCCCAGCCAAGCAAAGTGTGAGTGAGGGGTGAAGGGTGTGTGGGAACTCTGTGCTATTTCCACGGTGTGTCTGTAAATCTAAACTCATTCTAAAATAAAAAGGTTATTAAGAAGGAGGGGAAAGGAGGAAGGAAGAGCAGGAAGAGGAGGAGGAGACTTACGATTCACTCTTTTGATAGACTGTGCTTCTTTTTCGGCGGACCAGGCACTGACCATAAAATTTCTACTTTGATCTTTGAAACACTTCCTTGTATTTCGTCAGAGCTTCATCTCTTGTACAGCCCACTCCTCACCTCCTGCCTTCACCATCCCTGGCGTTCTCTTTCCTTTCCTTGTATTTGCCTCCTTGGAAACTAACCCCGCGCTGGGCTGCAGCCATTGTAATGGCGGCCCTAACATGCAGTTTCTGGTTAGTGGACGTGCCATGGTCAGATTTCTAATGGGCAGATCAATGAGGAGTTTAATATTTTCCTTAAAAGCAACCTGTTCAAAGCAGGCTTTACATTTATGTAGTTGTTTCAGATTGGGGGCAGTATTTAATCTTTCATTTCTAAACCCCTATAACGATGAGCTGAGTTATGACAAATTTTTACCATAGATTAAGATCCCCAAATAGTATTAGTGTGTGGTAAGGAAGAAGGAAGCCCTAAGCCTTATAGAAATGATAGCCCTGGTCTAAGATGTTACAGCCTGAGCCCATGTGACCAGAACCACAGAAGGGGCATCTTTTCCAAGACCTGTTTCCTCACCCACAGTCAGTCTTTGACCTGCCCAGGGACAATCCCAGTCTCTTTCACCAATATTTGGGGCTGGGGTGGAAGAAGCCAGTTGTCGCAGTCAGCATTTGAACTCAGAGCATACAGCAACCCGGCCCCGGGGGACAGCCATTCTGCATGCCCTGAGGGGATTCCATTCCACAAGGAACATTGCCAGGAGTGCTGGTTTTGACTTAGTTTCCAGAACTCCCAAAGCTGTCGCCATTACCCAGAACAGTCAGGATTAGTAGTAAGTCACAGATTCTGGTCCCCTGCAATTAGAAGAGGTAAAAGACATGCAGCTGTTTTGAATGAAAATAGCTGGCCCTGGGCATTGTTTTTTATTTGGAGCTTTTACTTAGAAAGAAAGGTTCGACAGCCCCTTCACTGGGTTTAAGTCTCCACTGGGTAAACCAGTGGTTAACCCCCAACAATACCGCATGCAAAGAGGTGGTTACAGCTTGCCTCTGGTCTGTGGGCTTGGTGAGTAAGTTGATTTACATTCTGGTGCCAGCTCCTTAGGCATCTCGAATGGCCAGACCACCAGTGTGTCTGCGGCCCCACAAGCTGCACCGATGTTCCTGCCGCGTGGGGCACAGGGAGTGTGACTGATCGCTCTTTCTGTCAGTATTGTAAAAGGTTTCCCGGGGCCCTAATAAAATGCTGACAGGGGAGCCA